CAAATCATTATTATTGGTTATTGTCCAGCAGTTATCTGATTTCTAAGCCAATTAAAAGCTAGAAATGAGAGAAAAATTAAAGTTGACTATACACTACCAGTCAAAAGTTTTTGAACAGTAAGATTTTTAATGTTTTTTAAAGAAGTCTCTTCTGTTCACCAAGCCTGCATTTATTTGATCCAAAGTACAGCAAAACCGTAAAATTTAGATATTTTTGCTAGGCTATTTCAAATAACTGTTTTCTATTTGAATATATTTTAAAATGTCATTTAGTGATTTCAAAGCTAAATTTTTTGCATTATTACTCCAGTCACACTATCCTTCAGAAATCATTCTGATATTCTGATTTGCTACTCAAAAAACATTAATAATAATAATAATAATAATAATTTAAAAAGTTTCATGAGCAGCAAATCAGCATATTAGACTGATTTCTGAAGATCATGTGACACTGAAGACTGGAGTAATGATGCTGAAAATTCAGCTTTGATCACACCAATCATTTTAAAATATATTCAAATAGAAAGCAGTTATTTTAAATAGTAAAAATATTTCACATTACTGATTTTGCTGTACTTTGGATCAAATAAATGCAGGCCTATGCCAGAACCTGTGCAAAATTCCCTTTGTAATACCCAGTCAGCGGAAGATTGTGCGTACATGAATCTCCACCCCGTCTCCTCCCCGAAATAGCCATTTATGGAGCTTACAACGCCTAGTTTTAATATGCATAACGTCATCTGCATATCATTTCCATGCATATTCCCATCCACGTGACACCATGTTTAACGCAGTTAAGGGTAGGAATACGTTAGGAAAATATGAGATACGGACTATAAATGCGTTTTGAGACATCACTATTCTAATTTATGCAATTTGCCTAAAAGGTAAACATATATTTTAGAATGTTTATAGCTTATATTTTTTATGGAAAGAGATAGGCCTTATTTTTTTGCAGTGTAAATAACTGTCTGACTCTCCGCGTTAACAAAACATTTTGAAAATAAAACGCGCATATCATACAGTTTCCTTCAAATTCTATCTTTTAAATATGGTGTTTGTCACAATATTGGGAAGAGCACAAAAGGGGTTATCATTAGGCTACCCAATGGACTGTTTGATCAACGAGCGCATCCTTATGGCTGTCGTTACCGTCTATGTTCCAAAGCAGGGGTGCCCAAACTCGGTCCTGGAGGGCCGGTGTCCTGAAGAGTTTAGCTCCAACCCCAATTAAACAC